ATAGCACGTGAAGGGAGAGGAAAGAGAGTCTGAGAAACCCTTTGCCTAGGCAAAGGCCCTGTGGCAGGAAAGACACAATGTTTGAGGAACAAGAAATAGTCCAGGAGGCCATGGGGCTGGTGAGCCGTGAGCTCACCAGAGAAGGGAGAGAACCAAGGAGACTGGCAAGACCAATAGGGACTCTCAGTCCCTTCTCCAGCGGAGAGTCACGGCCCACATGTTCCTTGCCCCACCACCTGGACCACCTCCCTTCTCAGCAGACCCCCCCCCCCAACTGCTGTCTCCCCATCACTAGAGATGGAGATGCCCGCCTCCTTGAGGAGGGGCCGGCCAGGGGGCCAGGCAGAGAGAGCAGCACGTCGGGAGAGGCCCGGGGTGGGGAGAGCCGAGGGGGAGGGGCGAGCAGGCCTTGCTGACCTGCCCGGTGTGGCTCGAACCCCCACATAATCCCCTCTTGTCTCCGCCACTGCCTCTGAGTTATTTTTAAAATCTCATTTTCAGAAAGTGGAGGAGAAAACCCTTCTCTGTTTTTTTCTGTGGAAGATTCAGAGAGGAGTCTGGAAAGAGGAACGGACCCTGGAGGACTGGGGGGGGGGGTGTCCTGGGTCGTGCACCCACAGGGACCCAGGGTGTCTGCGGACCCTGGGCTGGCTCCGTCACATGCGCCAGAGACAGGGAGCAGGACCCCTCCTGGGGCAGCCTCCACCAAGCACATTTGGCGCTTTCACCCATGTGATGGGCACCTATCCCGGGCTGGAGCTCGGCAGGGACACAGGGTCCCTGGGGACCCTCCTGGGGCAGAGGGTCCAGCGAGAGACCATGGCTAGGAACCCACAGGGGGATCCCCAGGACTAGGAGGCTGGGGAGAGACACGAGCCTGTCCAGGGCCATCAGCAAAAGGCGTTGGGAGCAGTGACAGGTGATGGGGGACAGGAAGGGTCCCAGCAGGCGGAGGGCTGCATGTGTGGGCAGAGCAGAGTGGGCCTGGTGTGGTGGCAGCACCGACTGACCCCAGGGACCAGGGTCCACAGGGGCCTTTGGGCGGGTCCTCTCACTGGCACCCACAGGAGGCTCAGCGAGGGGGTAACTCCCTGATCCAAGAAATGCTGGGGCCAGAATTGGACGCACAGGGTCCAAGGCCCAGAGGAAGGGAAGCCTGGAGTCCCAGCCTGCACTTGAGGCCATTGGAGGCCGGGCTCGCTGGGCTGCGTGGGTTTAAACATCATGGGAGGAGTTCCAAGGCTCAGATGGGGCCATTATGCTCCTGGGGGAGGGTCCTCTGGAGAGAAACTTGTCTGCCTGGCACCTTCTGTCAACACCCCCGCCTCGCAGAGGGGCCCAGCATGAGCTGGCACTCCAAGAGTTGATGTTGAAGCAACCTGAGCAGGGAGGATGAATGCTATGGGAGCCCAGGGAAAGCAGGGGTGGCCTCACAGAGGAGGTGACCTGGGCTGGGGTCTCTGAGGGCAAATAGGAGAGCGCAAGGAGTTTCTTTAGGAAAGCAGGTGTGTGGTGGGGAGGGATTGGGCGTTAAAGAAAAACAAATATTCATGACACTTGTTGAAGACCCTGATTTATTCTAGGGAGCACTATCACAGCAGGTGCAGGGACCCGGGCGCTGGGGTTGCGCGTGGGAGGGGAAGACTGTCTCCATCAGAATGAAGCAGGGGCCGTGGGACGTCCAGGCACCAGCGGCTACGGGTCGGCGGATGGACAGGAGGAGACGTCCGGGGCGGAGGCGTTCAGGCTGAACCCACCTGCCAGGATTCTTGCTGAAGCCAGGCCAGGTGGTCAGACCTCCACTGGAGAGGTGGGGGTGGGGGGCAGGATGAGGAAACCGGTCAGATGTGGAGGGCGGCCAGATGTCGGCAGCGGAGGATGGGGGCTCCCTGCTGAAACTGGAGGGCGCAGGAGGGCGCAGATGGGCCCGGGAGAAGGTTCTGGAGCCTGATCAAGCAGAGAATCTTGTCAAGGGCATTCCAGGGGCCAGGGGAGGGCACTGCACAAAGCCTCAGAGGCGGACCTGGCTGCAGCTGGGAGCAGGGAGGAGGTGGGAGGAGGGGCCTGGGTAGCAGAGCAGGGGCTGGGCTGCTGGCCCCGGGTGGGCCCCAGCAGAAGTGGAGCTGGAGGGAGCCTGTGCAGGGGCGTGGGGGTGGGAGAGAGCAGGCGCTCTCCCACAGCTGCCGGGCCCCCGGTGGGTAGCACCCGTAGGTTGCCCAGCCGCCTGGAATGCCACGGTCCCCTCCCCAGACGCCTTCTGGGCTGGGAGAGCTGCGGGGACGCTGCCTGAGGCCTGCCTGGGCCCGCAGCGCCACCTGCCGGCCGCGTGGGGAGGCACAGGCGGGCGCCTCTTGGGGCCTGCTCCGTACTGTCCACAGGCCTCATCCGCACCCCCAGCTGGAGCTCCGTGGGAGGGGCGGGGCCCGTGGTTGAACTCGGCTCCACCACTGCCTGCTGGGTGACCTCCAGCCAGGTTCTCACCCTCTCTGAGCTTCATCCCAATCCGGGGGTGTGAGCACGCCCAGCTATGAAGAGCAGGCAGCAGGCTGGGAGCCCACACCCAGCCACGGCGCTGCTCCCTAATTCCTGGCAGGTTCCAGGGGACACAGGCACGTGGCCCGGCCCAGCCAGCGGCACTGGACCCCTGACATCTTGCCTTATTCACGGTGAGGGGTGAGGGGAGACGGACAAGGGTCAGATCTCAGCAGGTGACCCTCCCTGTGTCCCCTGGGCCGAGGTCCAGCCAAAGAGGCTCACCTTCTGCCATCTGCCCTGATGTGACGCTTGAATTCCCCAGACATCCAGCCTCCCCCAAACCCTGCAGAGGCAGGAGTGCGCGACCTCTGAAGCAGCTCCTTCAGCTTACCTGGGCCAGACTTGCCGGAAAGTTCTCCCTCGGAAACGAGTTTGCAGAAAACCTGCCTCAGCAGGTGGGCCGGGGGCAACTTAGTCTACAGTGTCGCAGGAACCCAAAAGGCCCATTGGGGCCTTGGGAAGGTCAAGGCCAGAACCTGCAAAGCCCCCAGGGCTCGTACCCTCCTCTGTCCCTTCCCTTCTGCCAGGACCCCTGAGCGGGGGATGGGCGGCCCTAAGGGGGCCCCACTCCCAGCCCCGAGGTCTCACTCTCGGCCCCAATTCCAAGTTCCCGAGTGGAGGGGAGACTGGTCGGGCCATCCTGCCCAATCAGCCTGGCAAATATCTAAAAAGGAGCTCTCTAAAGGGCTCTGCCCGTGGCTTCGTTGGTGTCCGTGGAGAAAGTATCTCCCCACCCCGTGGCTGATGGTGGCAGTGTTCACGGAGTCGCTCAGGTGCTTGGTGGCTCGCAGTAGCTAGACCCGTAGCTGTAAATCACCCCTAGGGCACAGTGAGATCTGGTCCAGTGACCAAGAAGTGATGAGTTTGGGGTATTTATTACCTGTTGTTCATAAAATGCATTTAATTGTGAGCTGCTGTGGCTGTATTCAACAACCAACTCTCGAAATTGCTGCGTATTTAGGAACAGTCATGCAAGCCGTTTTGGGGGTGGCTGGGGCACATCCCCGGCCAAGGCCACCAGCCACAAAGGTGCCCGGGACACAGCCCCGGGGCCTGTGGAGGACAATTCTCCCAGACGGGGCTCTTACAAACACCCAGTCTGGCAGCTTCGCACAATCGGGCTCAGCAGGGCCCCTCGGTCACGAAGGAGTTTACGGGCCTGGTTCTCAGCGGTCCGCTTCAGGGTGCTGGAGGGGAGGAACTCGAGCTCAGGGCTCCAGGTAAACCCGGATACGTGCCGACCTTTTCCATTTCAGAGCGACCCGAGGCGCAGCTTCCTGTCTGGGCCTCGGAGGGAACCCCAGCTCCCAGCTCCTGGGCCTGCGGGAAGGTTTAAGGCTCCAGGTGACATAGTCAGAAGGGTGCCGGGGACCCGGTGAGGCCCCGATAAACATAGCACGCTCCCTCCTCACCTGGCCCCTGCCGGCCAGTTTCCTCCCTCCACCTGGTGGGGACCGAAACACCCGGCCCACAGGACCCCAGTTAGACCTGGGGATGCCGCCCCCAAAGCCCAGCCTCCGTGCCGCGGGGGCACCTGTCCCGCACCAGGCACCTCTCACGGAAAAGCAGTCTGAACGTCAGAACCAGCTGGAGGAGGGTGGGCATTGTCGCCCTGTTTGAAAGCAGTCACGGCCTCAGAGAAGTCATCCAGCCGGCAGTACCAGAGCTGGGGTTTGAACCCCAGGGGCCAGTGCTGAGGCCCCCGTGGCCTCAGGGGTGAGCCCTGGCTGGCTGTCGTCTCTGAGACTCCCCAGCAGGGCCCTGGTCCCGGGGACAGACTGCTCCCAGAACGCAGGGGCTGAGTGCACAGTGTGGCTTCAAGGACCCCTTGAGGGAGATGGTTATGGGGGTGCAGGTCGCTGGCCCAGCAGCAGGTCCTGGCCCACAAGAGCCCCTTACCCCTGCAGCGTCCTGGCTCTTAGCCCTCCACTCACCAGCCCCACCCGCAGGGCCTCCAACAGCCGGATATGGTGACGAGGGGCCATGCTGGGTGTCCCCGGCCAGCCTTCTGGACCACGCTTGCCCTGCAGCCTTGCGACTGGACTGTGGCCCAGTGCGATGGGCGGTCATGAAGAACCCTAATCCTGCCACGTCTCCCCAGTGCAGAGCATGGGTGACTTATCTATTGCTGTGCAACTAATGACCCCAAAACTCAGGGGCTTACAACACACATTCACTATCTCACCAGTGTCTCGGGTCAGGAATCCAGGATTAGCTGGGTCTTCGGTCTCAGGGTTCCTCACAAGCCAAGGTGTCAGCCGGGGTGGGGTCCGTGGATCTTACAGGGGACAGTTCAGGACCAGAGACAGGAGGGCTGAGCCCAGGGCCACGCCAGGGGCACAGGTGCACACACATGCGCGTGCCGTGCCCAAGCGCTGGCCCTGGGAAAGTGCCTTGAGCGCTAGAGCCATTGTGACCTCAGGGGTGAGGTCAGGCCTGGCTGGGGTGGGGAGGGGGTACCCAGAGATAAGGCTGCCCCACTGGGCATGAGGACAGAGCTGGAAGCTGGGGCCTGTGGGTTCTCCGGACCACACCCCAACACGGACAAGCAGAATTCGGAACAGTCACGCAGCCACGCCTCGGCCGATAGGATGTCGTCAGCCGTGTCCCAGAACCCCAGGTCAACGCAGCACCAGTCTGGGACATGTCCCCCCAGGAGGGGACATGTCCCCAGAAGGGACACCCTATGTCCTGCTTCCCCGCAGGTGCCCCGGCCCCTCCATCTTTCGGGACAGTGCCTCCCTGCGGGGCAGCAAGGGGCACCCTGGGGGGCATCTGGCGCCGAGCCCCAGGCCTTGAGCCAAGAAAAGAGGGGTCCCTGCAGCCAGGAGCAGCCGGGGAGAGGGTAGGATTGGGACCGAGCCCCCCCCCCCCCCCCCGGCCCCGACTTAGTTGAGGGGAGGATGGGGGGGGGATATTGGATCCAAGTGCTGGCTTTGCCTTCGCCCTGCGGGGTGGTGGTTGACAGCTTGTGGGGACCAGAGGTGTGGCTGGAAGCGTGTCACTGTCCCCGTCCACACATGCCTACTGCATGAGTGAACGCAGGGACCGACGGACTGTCCGCCTGCTTCCCTGAGCCTCGGCTTCTTACCCACACAGCGGACGGTGGTACAATGGCCAGCGTCCCGGCCAAGACAAGGCGCGTCCTAGGGAAGGCTCCTCCCGGCCTCCAGGCGGGTGCTCCGGGGCGGCTCCACCTCCCGTGCCCGGGGCCCGGCGGGCTCCCTCCCCGGCCTCCCCAGACCCCGGGGTGCCCGCCTTGGGGGCCCTGGGCGCCCAGACCATCCCTGGGCGGGTTCCCGAGCAGGAGTCCTGCGTGCGATGCCCGTGGTGGGGAGCTGTTCCAGAAGGAGCAGCTTTGTGCTTGTTTGGAACTCACTTATTTTTGTGTGCCCGCAGTCGTTTCCACGTGTGTGTTGTCAGGCCTGTCTTCTCCTCTGCCGCATCTTGGATCACTTCTAAGGCGAGAAAACACTCCCCTCTGCAGCTGTTTGCCTGACTACACTTCTGTCGCCTTCTGTATTTAAAAATATATTCCACTTTGGCCGTCACCGGGCGAGGATGCCGTTTCAGGGCAAGATACGGGCCAAGTGCTTGTGGGTGACACCGAGCCGTCCGGGTGCGGAGGGGCGCCGGGGACTCCAGCCCTTCGTGAGGCGCCCCCAGAGGTGGCACCAGCCGGCCTCGGTCTGAAAGACCGCACTTTCTGGGAGTGGCAGGGAAGCGGCTGGTTTTCTGGCCGGTGGTAGGAAGAAGGGGTCGTCCAGGAAGGTTCAAGTGTGCGCTGAGCTCTGCTGGCCACGGTCCCCAGGCTGCAGGCTTCAGGCTCGGGCTGGGTCTGAACCAGTGTCGTTCTGCAGAGGCTGCGTGTGCGGGGACAGGTCACTGAACCTCTCTGTGTCTCGGCACCTCGTGGGGTTGGCATAGGCGGACGGCACGGACGTGATGGGGGTGGGGGGGCGGAGGGGCGGAGGTGAGGTGAGGTGACCAGGTGCAGCGGGGCGGGTGGCCGTCCCCCCAGAATGTCTCACTTATCCACCACTCAGTCCTTCGGCTACCCCACACCCTTGCACCAGGCACCTGTCGGACACCTGCACCCCAGCGGTCTCCCTGTCCCCAGCCGGCACGGCACCCGGCTTCCTGTCCGCCCGTCGCCTCTCCCCCAGGACACAAGCTCTCCAAGGGAAGGGGTTTCCGTGTGTCCTGTTCAGACCAACCCCCAGGCCCTGCAGCATCTCCTGGTATGCAGTAAGCACGTAATAAATCCTCCCTGAAGGAACGAGGCCGCCCCCGGGGAGGGCTCAGGAACCATGAAGGTGGCCAGCCACTGCAGGCCGAGGGCCTCACCCCGTCTCTGTCCCCGGCACCTCGGAAAATGCTTTCATCCTGAGGATGGGCTGGCTGCATCCCGTGTCACCCACACTCCGACATGCAGAAATGCAACATCTCTGGCAGCCCCAGGAGTGTCCCCTGCGTGGCCACCTGGCTCCCAGAGGCAGATGGCGGGGCGGGGGCATGGCTATGGGGTGGAGTGACCATGAATGCCCTCTAGGAAGGCGGCTGGAGGAGGCCGGGCTGCCGGGAACAGCCCCAGGAGGACGAGAGGAGGAGGAAGCCGCTGTGTGGGGAAGGCCCTCCTGGCAGCCCACCCTCGGACTCAGCCTCTCATTCATTCGTTCAGTGGACCTTCAAGGACAGCCTTCCCTGGGACGTGCTGGGGACCCAAGAACGGCCAGCACGTCCCCAGGGACACTGGGGAAGGAGAAGGGCCAGGGGCTAGTCAGCAGTAAGGGAGGCACCCCCACCCCAGGATGCTCTCCACAAGCCAAGAAGGCTGAAGGGGGGCATCTGTGCCTTGCTCTGAAGGGGACAGGAGAGAGGAGGAGGAGGAAGGAGGCAGGAAGGACGCATGCTCCGGGCAATGGGCCCAGGGTCCTGGGGAGCTGGGGGCTGTCACAGGGCTTCTCCAGAAATCGGGATGGGCCTGACCACAAATGTTACTGGGAACCTGTTGAGGTACCAGACCCTGCTCCCACGCGTTAAGGGATAGACTTGGAGACAAGACGTAAAGATCCCTGCCCTGGTGGCTACATTCCCGTGGGGGAAACAGTCAATACACCACCCGTGTAATACAGTAAATTATATAATGTTACAAGGTTAAAAGTGACGTGGAAGAAAGTTGAGAGGGTAGGGGGTAGAGAGGGCAGGGCGAGGGGTACGTTGCAATTTTAAATAAGTTCATCAAGGAGGTAACAACTGAGCTGGGACTCAAGGGAGGTGAGAAACTGACCCAAGCAGCTAGCTATCTGGAGGAAGGATGTTCCCCAGCCTGAAGGGACGGCCAGTGTAAAGGTCCTGGGGTAGAAACGTGCCTGGTGGTTTAAGGAGCAGCGGGAGCTCACTGTGACCGGGGTGGAGTAAAGCAGAAAGAAATGAGATGGGAGAGGGGGGCGAAATCATTTTTGTTCTTGGAGATCTTGCTTTCTTTTTTATTGCGCTATAATTCATGCACAGTAAGATTCACCGTCCTCAGTGGGTCGCTTTGCAAGTTTTGACAAAGTCACACAGACGTGAAACCACCACCACAAGCAAGAGAGGAAACAGCTTTATCTCCCCCGAATCCACCATGCCCCTTAGGCAGTCAAGCGTCCTCCAGCTTCCCATCCCCGGAAACCACTAAGCTGTTTTCTGTTGAGTTGGACCTTCTTCAGGAAGTCATAAGGGGACAATACAGTGCGCAGCCCTCAGGGGCCGGTCCCTGTCACATGGCATGACGCAGGCAAGAGCCACCCGTGTTGTTTTTCCGCACTGCATTCCTTTTTATGGCTGGTGAGTTTTTCCGCGGATGTAATACAGTTTCTTTAGGCAGTCACCAGGCAGAGGACGTGCATTTTTTCTGGCTGGGGCTATGACAGGTAGCGCCGTGAGAAACACTCGTGTACAGCTTCTGTGGGAAAGGGAGTTGTTATTTTGTCGGAGTGAATGCCTAGGAGTGGGGCAGCAGAGTGCGCGGGGAACCTCCTAAGAAAACACCAAGCCCCTCTCTCCACACGGCCGTGCAGTTTTGTGTCCTCACCAGCACTGCACGAAAGGGGCCAGTTACCCCCCAACCTCACCAGCACTTGGTATTTTCAGGCCTTTCTCCCCCAATCTTAGCCACTCGAGTAGACGTGTAGCAATATTCCCCTTGGACTTGTTTCCCTCATGAGGAATGACGTCGAGCACCTGTCATGTGGATCTCCTTGGGTGGGGTGTCTATTCAGATCTTTTGTCTGTATTTCATCAGATGGCTTGCGCTGGGGTTTGAGTTTCTGTTTCGTGAGTGATGTGTATGTAGCCCGGATATGGATCTTTATCGGATACGTGATTTGCAAATATTCCCCCCAAATCCACGGCTTCTCTTTTCTGTTTTTTCTAGATGTCTTTCAAAACGCAGAAGTTCTTACTTTGGACGACATCCAATTTAACGTTCATTTTTTTTTTTTTTCTTCTATGGATGGTGCTTTTGGAGGCACACCCAAGAAATCTTTGCCTAGCCCAAGATCACAAAGCTTTTCTCCTGTATTTTCTGCTAGAAGTTTGGAACTCTGGGTTTTACTTTCAGGTCTACGATCTAGAGTTCATTTTCGTACACAGTGTGAAGTATAGGGTGGGGCCCATTTTTTGCATGTGTATGTCCAATCATTGCACACCATGTGTCGAATACACTTCTTAACTGAATTACTTTTGCGCCTTTATCAAAAATCAGTTGGCTTTGTACGCGTGAGTCTTTTTCTGGCCTCTGTTTTGCATTGACTATTTAGATAAATTTAGACAAAATTGCATCTTCACGGTATTGAGTCTGCTTTTTGGGGTTCTTTTTAATGTTTTTATTTATTTTTGAGACAGAGAGAGACAGAGCATGAGCAGGGGAGGGGCAGAGAGAGGGGGAGACACAGAATCCGGAGCGGGCTCCAGGCTCTGAGCTGTCAGCACAGAGCCCGACGCGGGGCTCAAACCCATGAACCGCGAGATCATGACCTGAGCCAAAGTCAGTCGCTGGACTGACTGAGCCACCCAGGCGCACCCGCCCCCCCCCCCCATTGAGTCTTCTGATCCATGAAGATGGTGTATCTCTCCACTTATTAAAGTCTTCTTGATTTCTTCTATTGCTATTTTATCTTTTACAGCCCATAAACCTTGCAATTATTTGTTACCTAAATATCTCATGTCTTTAATGCTACTATATATGGTAACTTTTTCTTAACTTTATTTATTTACTTAGAGAGAGGGAGATAATGAGAATGAGCGGGGGAGGGACAGAAAGAGAGAGTGACAGAATTCCAAGTAGGCTCCACCCTGCCAGGGAAGAGCCCTATGAGGGGCTCGATCCCATGAACTGTGAGACCCTGACTTGAGCCAAGATCAAGAGTCAGACACTTAGCCAACTGAGCTACCTATACAGCACCTTTTTAATTTCAATTCCCAACTGCTTATTGCTAGTATAGAGAAATATGGCTGATTTTTGTACACTGAATTTATTTTTGCAAATTTCCTAAAGTCCCGGGTCAGTTTTGATAGTTTTTTTATAGAGTCTTTGGAATTTTGTAATTAGGTGATAACATCCTCTATATGTAGAGA